CCATGCATCTGAGCTCAGTGCTCTGTGAGCAAACCACATCGACAGAGATCAGTGCCTCCTGCAGCTTCAGTGATGGCCTGCCAGCCCTTTCTGCTCATTTTCTTGGTCAGTTTTTCTGCCTATTGGCCATTCTACATTATTACAAATACCATACCTGCCCCTTACACCACTGAGCACGTCAGTATTTCTCCCTACTCTTAGCAGGGCTGTTGTTTCTGATCTCACAGAGAATACACAAATCCTAAGGGAACAGCAGCCTCAAATCCCACATCTGCCTCCATCCATACTTTTCTCCTTGCTTCCTATCCCAGCGGCAGGGCTCCCTTTTCTCAGAGTAGCTTGCCCTGCTTGTGCTGTGGATCCTACAGAGTTAATAGGTAATATCTACAGGCTAGCACTGTGGTGCAGTGGGTAAAGCCACTGCCTGGGATGCCGCATCCCATATCAGCACCACTTCGAGTCCTGACTGCTCCACTTCCAATCCAGCTCCCTGCTAATGCACCTGGGAAAACAGCAGAAGATGGCCCAAGTGCTTGGGTCCCTGCCACCCATAGGGAGACCCAGAAGAAACTCCTAACTCCTGGCTTTTGATCGGCCCAGCTCCAGCTCCTGCAGCCATCTGGGAATTAAACCAGCAGATGGAAGATTCTCTCTCTCTCTCTCTCCCTCTCCCTCTCCCTCTACCTCTCCCTCTCTTTTCCTCCCCCCCCCCCCGCTCCCTCTCTCTCTGTAACTCTGACTTTCAAATGAATAAATAAATCTTTAAAAAAAAACTATGAAAATATAGGTAATATCCATCAACTGCTAAGTTCTGCCTGTGTGCTCTCTTGGATCCCCTTCCCTAGTGAGGACCAGGATTCTTTTCAAGTCTGTTTGTAGATGAGGAAACTGAAGCTTAGGAAGAGATTCTCTCCTGGTCCCATAGCAGCCAGGATTTTTTTACTCATTCCAGTGCTATGCTCTTAGCCTTAGTTCTGTCCTTTTTCTCCTGCATGCTTGGGGACCTCTGTCCATCTGCTATTCCTTGCATATCTCCAGGTTTTTCTACCTCATTTCATCTCTCTCTTTTCTGCTTTGTTTATAGCAGGATTAAAAACGCAGAAGTCTCTTTGATCTGTTAAAATGAAGCTAAAACTACCACTTCCTCTTCGCAACTAAAATTGCCAAGAATGCTTTCCTCCAATTTATTCTCAGTCTTCACATACGCATCCCCCACCTTACTCCTCAACCTACTGCAATTGACCCCAAGCCAGTAAAGGACATCTCAAGGTCAGTAGGTGCCCTTTGGGCCCTATTTTATTTGATGGTCCTGAGTCATTTCATACAACTAATCCCATCCTCTTTCTCAAAACACTCTTCCCTCTGCTACCTTCTGTTTACCCTTTCCTGATTTCTAGAACTGCCTACCCTAGGCTCACTTAAGGGCCCATCCTCCTCTGTCAGTCATTGCAATGTGTGTGGTGTTCAGACTTTGCCCTAATCTCCTTTATTCTTCTTCTGCATATGTCCTGAATATCCCTACCCATTCTTGTAGCTTCAGTGTCTACCTAAATGCTCGTGAATCCCAAGTCTTCTCTCCTGGTCCTTCGTAAGCATTTGAGAACCAAATACTGTGTGTGTCCCCCTGGGTGCCGAGCGTCTCAGTTTGGATGGCCATCTGGAAACTCTGGCTTTCCATGTGTAAGAATGAGCTCACTTTCTTGCAAGCTAGCAATGGAAGACACTCGAATTGTGCCCCTGAGTCAAGCCCAGTTCTGCCATTTGCTTAGTGAGGTGGGCATTTCTCTTGTGTGAAAAGGGGGAGACTGAGGACACCTACCTCAGGGTCATCTTGGGAATTCATGAAATGCAAGGTACTCGGAGTACTGCTGGGTGTGGGATGAATCTTTTGTGGTTATCAACCACTACCCTGGCCTTTAGCACCTTGTCCACCAGCACTGCTTCCTCCTTACCTCGGTGGATGTGCCAATGTGCGCCGATGTGTGCCATAGCAGCTGTCTTGCATGCATTATCAACCTTTGATATTGGGTCCATTTTTCCCTTCAGCATCTAAGAAAATGGGGCATCCAGGTTTAAATAACTGGTCCAGGGCCTGACAGCCACTAGAATTTGTATTCTGACCTGCTGACCTTGAAGCTGAACTTCTTGGCAGTTACATTGAGTCTTCCTGGTCAGAAACCTGAGGCTCCGCTTTGACTCTTCCTTCCTTGTCACAACCCCTACCAGAGTTCATCCGGGTGACAAATTATGTCAGCTCCCGAATGTCAGGGGGAGATCTTCATTTCTCCATCCTTGCTGTCTTAGGGCCTATGTCCATCATCTCTTACTTAAGTCACTGAGACAGCTTCCTTGTTTGTCTCCTGGCTTCCCAACACCAGCAGTGCTCCTCGTCCATGCAGCCTTGACACAGCACGAGGTGTCTATGCTCTCAGGCAACTCAGTTCCAACACGTACTTCTGACTCTGTCATTACAATCTTAGATAACATCCAAAGCCCTGCATCATCTGACATCTGTGGTCCTCTTGTGCCTCAGTTCTCGCAGCTTCCCCCACAGCAAGCCAAGATCTGACTTGATTGAACTTTCCTTGAGTTTCTGTATCATGTGGGAGAAAGAATGGCCCAGGCAGTGCTTGGAAAGAATGGCCTAGGTAGCTTTCCTTGATCGTCCTATGTTCTACCAAACTCTGGGAGCAGTAGCCACTTCTGACAGTGTCTTCCAGATCTCTTCCAGATCAGAAACCCTGTGGGGCAGAAGTCACTCTGTACTAACAACAACAGAAAAGCGGGTGCTCAGTTAAAATATCGTACTACGTATTTTATATATTAACATTCAGCTTTTATAACCTTGAGATCATGCAGCTTGTTAACAACTGCGTTGGTTGATAGCACAGGCTTTAAATTTGGATTCCAGCCTGCCGTCTGCAACTGACGTACTCTGAGGTTTGGTTTTCTGCTTGGTAAAGCAGATGATAATTGCCCACCTCCTGAAGTTTGTAGGACAGAGTGAGAGTAGTGTCTGCTGAAGGTCAAGCAGAGAACCTGTGCACTGTAAACATTCCTCAGATGATAGGTTTTAATCCAAGCACTCAACTCTCCTTGTGGCTTTCGGCTTCAGATGTGTGACCTTGGCAGAGCAGTGCCTACTGATGCACTTGTGGAGCTGCTATTCCCAAGGAAATAAAAATTGAGAAGAAAGATAATCCCATTAGGGAAATCATCTGGCTTTAGAAGTAATCATTCTTTTGATTGTAAATATCTCTGGGAAGACTAACCTATACTGAAATGTGACTGTAATGACTAGGAAGTCTTCCCAAAGTTCTCTTTATTGTTACATAAAAGAGCATGACTGGGGGCCAGCGCTGTGGCATAGCAGGCAAAGCCACCACCTGCAGCACCAACATCCCATATGGGTGCTGCTTTGACCCTCGGCTGCTCCACTTCTAATCTAGCTCCCTGCAAATGTGTCTGGGAAAGCAGTGGAAGGTGACCCAAGTGCATGGGCCCCTGCACTCACATGTGAGACCTGGAAGAAGCTCCTGGCTCCTGGCTTTGGATTGGCTCCAGTCGTTGGGGCCATTTGGGTAGTGAGCCAGTGGATGAAGATCCCCTCCCTCTCTCTAACTCTGCCTTTCAAATAAATAAATAAATCTTTTAAAATTTTTTTAAAAAGAGAATAATTATATATCAATTTTAATGAAGCCCTGTTTCTACTTAATGACATATGGGTTTGGCTCAGTGACTGGCAAAAGCTTCTCATATGTATGGAGGTGGTTCAAAAGGTTCATGGACAAACAGAATTAAAAGATAAGTTTATTTTGATGTAAATCAACTTTGAAGCCTATGCATACACCTTTTTTCATAATACACATTTCTCCTAACTTTTTTGAAGATCTCTCAGAAGTGTGTGACTGATTTCTCATGGATGGCAATGCTTTAAATAAGCTGGATATTATTTTCATTTGAAAGTAGGATAAATATAGCCCTATATAACAAGTTTCAAAGAAACATTTAATACTCTTTTAGATGTCCCACATCTGAGTATTACTCAGAAAATGAGTTAATAGAGGGTGTTTTGGAAGCAGGCTGTTGTGGGTTCAAATCCTGGTTCTACACACATATTACTGCTATGACCTTAGATAGGTTGTTTAACATACCCTGGCTCTGACTCCTTCATCTGTAAAATAGATTTGCTGCACAATTTGCTACAATCAGAGTTTGCTGGGAGAACACAGGGCGGTAGCATATGTAACTCAGCACAGCACCTGTCAGGTAGTCGATCTTCTGTTTCCTTGCTAAGTCCTCAGACATCATATTCTCAACAGTAGTCCAACTTACATGGCAGAGTGATCTGCTTGAGATATTAGATCTGCGTCTGCACTTTATCCAAGGAAAACCACTTATGGCTTTTTTTCCCATATAATTCAGCTTTTAAGCTGTATCTTCCATCTTCCACAACAGGAAAATGTATTGGGTTAAGTGGATTTTCTTTAATAGGGATAGAGAAGCTTTGCAATAATTAATGTTTGAGAAAAAAGTCAACTTGCATCACCAATGTTTTAGTGAATTGTTTTTAGAATTTCCCTCTATTTTGCTACCACTGTGGTGAATCTGTTCATGATCTCATAACCCCAGTAGCTCCCATAACTCATGCCTACTAATTATAGGGAAGAGCTCAATGAAACACGCAGTGCATGGCTATGGTCGTAAAAATCTGACTTTCTCTTCACAATCACGGTTGGCGCTCAGTTGCCTTCATTACTGTGATTGTCATGAGAAGTGCAAAACACAGTTGAGCTAACTTTTTGGATTATTGGCTTTATGAAAAAATTACTATAAATTATTATTCATAAACAGGTATTTCAATTTGGGCATGGCTATTAGCTTTTAAATAACTTGTTGGTTTTCTCTTGATGTTTCCCCCTGTTAAATGCTTTTCTTAATTGTTGTCTGTGCTTTGTCTCTCTCTTTCTCTCTCTCCCTCCCTCCCTCCCTGCCTGCAGTCTTTTCCCTATAAAAGGACCCATCTGTCTAAGGTAGAGATCCTCCATTTTTATATACTCATCAGTGACTAAGCTACATGAAGTAGACATGTTTATCATTTAGAATTCTCATTTAATTCTGCTTTATCAATACACTGAAGTTTTGTTTGTTTTTTTTTCTTCAAGTAAACTTTGTTTTTTTCAATGTGAGTTCAAGTACCCAAATTTATATTTAATTTCTAATCATAGTCATAGAGCAAAAAATATACTTTGAACCTGCTAATCCATGGTATTAACAGCAATGCATGAAGAACTGGGGCTCTTTGTAATGTGTGACTGTCTATATACAGAGAATGAGAGAAAAAATCTGTTTCCAAAAAATGACCCATTTTCATCTGATTTTATTAGACTTGAATTTGAGAGGCAACAACGTGAGGAGCTTGAGAAATTGGAAAGTAAAAGGTAAGGCACTTGGGCTTGAGTTTCAGCGTTCCTGTCTGTGGATTTCTGTGTCTGTGTTGGACCCTTTCACCTGTCTCTGGTTTAATACCTACATCTTGCTCAGGGTCTTCAATTTACATCTCTAATGACTGTGTGTTATGTTTTTGTTTTTTAAATCTGGCTAGTTTTGCTTCATGTTTACAGTTTTTTTTAAGGTTCATCTAAAAATATTTGTGAGAAAAAGGAAAGAATCAATGGGAAAATTACTGCATTGATTAAAATCAATGTATCAGATATTTATTCATTTAAATGTAACTCAGAAGTTAATATCATCTCTTTACAATATCCCTTTAGTTTTCTTAAAAATATTTATTTTATTTATTTGAAAGAGTGAGAGAGAGATGTAGAGACAGAGAGAGAGGGCTTCCATCTGCTGGTTCACTCCCCAGATGGCCGCAACGGCTGGAACTGTGCTGATCCGGAGCCAGGAGCTTCTTCCGGGTCTCCCACACGGGTGCAGGGGCCCAAGGACTTGGGCCATTTTTTACTGCTTTCCCAGGCCATAGCAGAGAGCTGGATCGGAAGAAGAGTAGCTGGGACTAGAACCGGTGCCCATATGGGATGCTGGTGCTTCAGGCCAGGGCTTAAACCCGCTGCACCACAACACCAGCCCCAATATCCCTTTAGTTTTAAAAAACCAAAAGGGTAAGTGAAAGAAGGGAAGGATAAAGAGCTAAGAGAAAGGCAGGTATTTAGCCCAGCAGTTAAGGCACCCACATCCCACAGTGAAGTGTCTGGGTTTGAGTACTGGTTCTACTTCTGACCCCACCTCCCTGCTGATGCAGACCCTGAGCACCTGCAATGGTGGCTCAGGTGAGTCGGTTCCTGCCACTAATGTGGGAGCCTTGGATGAGTTCCTGGCTCATCCAAGTGTTTCAGCCCTTAGGTTGGGGCCATGTGAGCATTTGAGCAATGACCCAGTGGGTAGGAATATGCTTTCTCCCTCTGCTCTCCACCACTTTGTGCCTCTCAAATATATAGACTTCTCCCTTCCTTATACCTCCCTCCTTTTGTCACACCATTTTTATGTTGTTTGACTGTTGGTATTTCAGCTGTTTCACTGATTTTTTGAATAGTTATTTATGTTATCCAAAATAATTATTTTATTAAATTGTGTTTTCTTCTTCTCCATCTTTCCTGTCCTGTTTAAAACAACCAAAGAAATGGAGCAAGGATAGGCATTGGAGTAAGGACATAGAAAATCTGCAGACAAGATTCCAGTCATTGTCTCGAATGAATTAGTTTAGTTTTCAGTGTCATACAAGATGGATGTTTGGTAGGTCAGGAAGTGGAGGACATGTGTCCATATTCTTACGCGGCTCTGCTTTCCAAGGCCATCTCTACCGCAGCACTTTGATTGAGGACCTGATGAGAATCATTTGTTCTCTAAGAGAAAACATAACCTGGAACCTCTAGATTCGTGCCTTTGAGGAAGTATCCTCAAGTGGAGAGCCTAGTTATCGGTGTGATCCATTAATAAACTAATATTTTGGACCATCTGGTGATCACCGTTTGACCTAAACTAGTGATTAAATGCTAAATAGCATGTAGTTATTTGAGCCGGAACAATGAATTGTCAATTATCTTGACTTTGATATTCGACCCCAGTGAGTTGAAGACAGCAGAAGCATTTTCCTTTAATGTCATCATGTAACTGAACTTCTGTTGAGTTTTAGTCATCGGGCTGAATAAAATTATTCACACTGAAATTTAAATTGGCCATGGTTCTCTCTCTTTGAGCTCAGGGGCCTTTTTTAATTATATCATGCATAACACATGATTATAGACGCCACACAGAGATGATATCAGGCTGGCTCAGAAGACCAGGCTGATGATGTGTTGGACAGGAGAGAATTAAAAATGTTAACCAGCATGCTGCCAAAAACATCAAAGGACAGCAGTTCCTCCTCTTTTATCTGAGGGATGGGTTTTGGCTCCACATTGCCTACGCATTTGCGGAATGTTTCAGTTAGGGAAATGTGAGCGCGACATCTGAACATAGTGGTAAGATAACGGTTGGCCCATCTTTGCCTCACAGGAAACTCATACAAGAAATGGAAGAGAAGCAGAAATCGGACAAGGCCGAGCTGGAGCGGATGCAGCAGGAGGTGGAGACCCAGCGCAAGGAGACAGAAATCGTGCAGCGTCAGATTCGCAAGCAGGAGGAGAGCCTCAAGCGCCGCAGCTTCCACATCGAGAACAAGCTGAAGGACTTGCTTGCCGAGAAGGAAAAGTTTGAGGAGGAGAGGCTCAGGGAGCAGCAGGAGATCGAGCTGCAGAAGAAGAAGCAGGAGGAAGAGAGCTTTCTTCGCGTCAGGGAGGAGCTGCAGCGGCTCCGCGCGCTCAACAACAGCGACAAGGCTGAGAAGCTTCAGATATTTCAAGAGCTGGACCAGCTGCAGAGGGCCAAAGATGAGCAGTGTGCCAAGCTGGCACTGGAAAAGAGGAGGCTGGAGGAGCAGGAAAGGGAGCAGACCTTGCTCGTGGCCCACCTCGAAGAGCAGCTGCGAGAGAAGCAGGAGATGACCCAGCTGCTGCGGTGGGGGGAGGTGCAGCGGGTGGAGGAGGAGAGGAGAGACCTGGAAGGCATCCGGGAGGCCCTGCTGCGTGTGAGGGAGGCCCGGGCCGGAGGGGAGGTCGACAGCGAGGAGTTGGAGAGGGCCCAGCTGCAGTTCTTAGACTTCAAGCGAAGGCAGCTCGTCAGGCTGGCGAACTTGGAGAAAGACCTGGTTCAGCAGAAAGACCTCCTGGAAAAAGAAGTTGAACAGGAACAGGAAACCCTGGGGCATTTCAGACGTGAAAACGATGAAGAAGCCAGGTTGTTGGCTAAAAGCGACGAGAGTGTCTCCAATGTCGCCCATGCGACCCAAGATGCAGAGAAAATGAAGCCAGTGGAGAGCAATCTGCAATATAAAGAACGCCAGCTCCAGTACCTCCTGCAAAATCACCTGCCAACGCTGCTGGATGAAAAGCAGAGAGTGTTCGAGATCCTCGACAGAGGCGCGCTCGGCCTGGACAACACTCTTTATCAAGTCGAAAAAGAGATGGAAGAAAAAGAAGAGCAGCTCGCTCAGTACCAAGCTAGCGCAAGCCAGCTGCAGAGGCTGCAAGCCACCTTTGAGTTCACGGCCAATGTCGCACGTCAGGAGGAGAAAGTGAGGAGAAAGGAGAAGGAGATTCTTGAGTCCCGGGAGAAGCAGCAGAGAGAGGCGCTGGAGCAGGCCGTGGCCCAGCTAGAGAGGAGGCACTCAGCCCTGCAGAGGCGCTCCACGCTGGGCGTGGACATCCAAGAGCAGAGGCAGAAACTGGCCGCTCTGCACGGCAGCACTGAGCAGTCAGGGCTCCATAGCAGCCTGCAGGCCGAGCACGAGGCCCTGGAGAAGGACCGGGAGAGGTGAGAAGGGGCTGCGGAAAGCGTGGCACACAGTAGGTGCAAAGCATCACTCAACCTCCTACCTCCTGGTTTTGTTTCGCTCTGCCTTTGTCTTTTTAAGTGATTCTTTTAGATTTTATAGTTTCTAATACATAGGCAAATGATTTTTTTTAACCAAACCCAAGAAAAGTATCTTTAAATGTTCTTTTACTTCTCCTTTAGATCCTTGTTTTGGAATCACTGGCTTAGAGTTGGAGAAAACATAAATGAAAAAGAAACCATTGTCCATCACCCTACTACCTGTGGAATGGGTGTGTTTTAATATTTCCTTCTGAAAATGGAAAAGGCTGAGAAATCTTCTAGGACAGCCTAGATTCTTCCCTTCTTCTCTCCCCTCCCTCTGCTCCTTCTCCTTCCCCTCTGCCCCTCCCTCCCCTCTCCCTCTCTTCCGCCTTCCCTGTCCCTTCCTTTGCCCTCTCTCTTTCTTACCCCTCTCTCTGTGTTCCCTGGCTCTTTCCTTTTTTGCCTCTTCCTTGTCCTTTCTCTCTCCTCTCTCCTTTTCCCTGCTCTTCTGCCCCAGCGGCCTCATACCTTCCAGTGCTTGTTCCGGTAAAGCCACAATTCTGTCCCCAGAATTCATGGATTGTACCTGGTGCACCGATTCCCACAGCCTGATGGGAGCCAGAATCAATACTTGCACCCCCATTGATTCACAGTATCTGACAGGAGACCTCAGGACTGTATTTACAAGGCAGCCGGCCAACTAGCTAAACTTTCCACAAGATTCTGATCACAGCGGGATAATGAGCATGTTTGGTGATGGTGATTGATATTCTTTTGGTATAAAGTGGGGATCTTGCACTCTTTTCATAGTAAGCAAAACATATTTATCTGTGTCCATTTAGTCCCTATCCCCGTGCTCACCAGATAGTAGGTTCTCACAATGAAAAATGGTGTCAGCTTGAGAACAGCTTTTCCAGGAGCCCTGTGGACTGGATGCCAGCGCCCTCAGAAAGGCTGGCAGCACCTGGTGTGCAAAGGAGATTTGTACTCCAGGGCGGCCTCATCCTACTGTGTGTCCTTGGGCAGGATCTCTCTTTCTTGGGCCTCAGTATCTCCTCTTGTGTAAGGGCATGGATGAGATCAGGGATCTGCATTTTCTTTTCGCTTTTGGTCACTTGAGACCCCAACTGAGGTCTAGGTTGAAGGCCTTGGAACCTACCCCTCCCACAAGCTCCTGAGGGGCTTCAGTGGGGTCCAGAGTGCTGCCTGTAAGACCCCAGCATGGCACTGGGCAGTTGCTGAGAAGGAGGCAAGACCTGCTCAGAAGTGTTAACCATAGCCTTCACTCATCTTGCCTGAAAAGGTCAGGATAGCCTCCTTTCAAATGATCTCCTTCTACTGTGGCTTATAGTTACCATTGCCCTCTGGTAATTCCTTAGGCAAAACAGCAGCAGAATAACAATGCAAAGCCATCATGCCACTGTTTCAGAGAAATAGGTTGGAGGTTTAAGAAAATGATTGCAGGTATGTTAAGTAAATGAAATTGCTGGACAATGCCCCAGCCCCAGGAAATTTAAAGTAGTGGAGGCCACGCTCTCAATTTGTGTCCTGCAGCGTGCAGTAAGAATGCAGCGTGAGCTTTTAGCTTGATGTCCCTGACTTTTGTCAGGCAGCCATTTAGTATTACCACTCTTTAATAGAGCCCACGCAGGACTGTGATTTCCAGGGGAGTGATCTCCCGGTGTCAGCATTCCTGCAGAAACCTCGCACAGGGGGCTGCTCTGATGAAATAGCTTTGCGGAGCCCTACTTCGGACCAGTTAATTCTAGGCTCTCTGATGTCTCTGTGATGCCCCTGCCTCTTTCCGTGTGTTTCTCTTGTGCTTTGTTGTCTCTCCTAGCCTCATGGCTATGCCAGGACCTACCAGGCAGCCCGACTAGGGCCCTTCTGAAACTCCACAGATGTGAAATACTAAATTCTTACAGGGCCAGATTGAACAGCAGTACACTGAACTTGGCTTTGCCCCTTGGCTTCTCAGTGGTTTATGAGAAAGATTTCATCCATTTTTTTTTTCTGTTTTCTTTTTCACCACCGACTCACTCCCGCTGCCCCAGTGACATGCATCAAGTCCCCACAGCAGGGATAACAGAAGCAACCTGTTAATACGCCTTTGTTTTCAGAGTCCTTGATGCCAAGCATGGGGAAATAATTTGTGTAACTCACACTCTGTTTCAAAAGCCATGTGAGCATTTTCCTTTGTCTTCTGAAGAAAAGTAGCATCATCCCCCGTTTTTAGGTGGGGAGGTTGAAGCCTGCAGTGGTTAGATACTGGGGGCTGGTGTCAAACAGCCAGAGAGTGGCAGAGTCACAACTTGGGGCTAGGTCCACTTAACCCCCCCAGAAGTGTTTGCCACACTTTCCTTTTGTCTACTAACCACATGTCTGGCCAGTTCTTTATATGGGATCCCAACATATAGCAAGGCCCATTGTTTATATCGGATGCCAATCTTGGGATGCTGTGTTTGTCCGTTGCCACCCATAGAAATCTCAGTCTTCAAAGTCCCACGTGAACCTCCTTTGCTCTACGGAGTCTTCTCCACTGCCCAGCACTGAAGATCAACTGTAAACAACCCTAGCAGGCACCTTCTCAACTTTAAACACTGCTGGAAACCTGCTTCCATCCTGCTCATTTCTTACCATTGCTGAGACCCTGTTAATATCATCCCCCTTCTGTCACTCTTCTCTGCCCATTTGCGTCTTGAAAATTCCACACTCTCTGCAGGTCGAGTCTCGGGCAGTGCAGCAGGCAGAGGAAGACCCGAGTTTAGCCGGCACTGCCTCCCGTGGAACTTCTGAGTGCCTGCCCTGTGACCCCACGATCCCATCGCTGAGCATTAAGAAGTTGGCTTTCATGCTCAGGGTAGAGTCGAGTTGCTCTTGGTGACACCAGATGGCTAGCAGCAACATGCACGGTGTGTCGCCATTTGACACTAGAATCTCTGATTTTTGTTGCTGAAAGAATTGAAAAAGACACTAGTTGCCTCTTCTATTTGATCCATGAAGACATTGAGACCCAGATTTAAATCACCTGTCCAAGTTCAAGCAGCAAGTGGGGTGCAGCCTCTAGCTTGGTCTTAAGTTTCCTGAGGCCAAGTTTACTGGCAAGCTTGGTTCTTATTTAGCCTGGTGGCTGCAGATTCAAGCATTGCCTGGGCCAGCAGCAGAATGTCCTTATTTACACTTGACCTCATAGTCCATGTGTCATTTACCAATGGAGGTAAACTGTTGGTTCCACAATTCATGGCTTATTCTAATTTCTCATGGGTCTCAGCCTACTTTCCTAGGTTTATACCCACTGCTTCCCTTTTCATATCCAGATCCCCCATGTTGTCTAGAACAGTGTCTCACACGGTGAAACAGCTCAGGAAAGATTACTAATGAGTGAATCCGTGTGGTTCCTGTCTCTGTAGGTTAGAACACGAAATCCAGGCGCTGAAGGAAAAGATCTGTGAGGGCGATGGTACTCAAAGAGGTCCTCTTGGGAGGCTGGAGGGGAAGGCTGCTTCTGCCAGCTTGCTGTCCAGTGCTGAGAAACCGCACCTGGTACCCCTGATGGATGCCAGGTACTCAACATTAAACGTACTGGGTTTGCATTTTATGTGATTTCATGACTTACTGCACCTGTAGTGGCTAGCCTGCATATGGGGGATCTGTCAAAGGCAGCAGGGGGCACATGGGCCTGAGAAGTGCTGTCTTTGTCAGCTGATGCTTGGCTAGTAGTGAAGCAAAGGGTCGTTGGAAGGAAATCAAGGAGCTGAGGACTTGTCAGCCAAATCCAGTGAATCTTGGTGCAAATGGTTTCTGTGAGGAGGTGGAATTAAAAGACACAGGGTGAGCGTTCCTCCAGAAATGCGAGGCCAAGTTGAAAAGAACATAAACAAGAAAAAGAGGGCTTTGCACTGGCAGTTAAGTTGTGTAAGTCATAGATTACAAATAGATGAAGTTTATTACAACACTGTACTAGTATATTAAGAATGACTATGAGAAGAGTCACATAATTAACATGATTGTCAACTAAGGTGCCATTGTTGACATAGTCTTTCTTTACCTGTTTTTTTTTTTTTTAAAGGTTATTTTCCTCCACTCTATCTATATTCAGAGGACATTTCAGATTGGGCAGGTCCTGAGCCAGGATATTGGGGATAATGTATTTGGATATTGGAATGCCTGAGCCTGTAGTCCTTTCAGACTCTAGGTCGTCCACATCTTCTGTGGACTACTTTAAGATTCAAGTGAAGATCAGGAGAAATCATCTGTAGATGGCCTTGGCTCGTGATCAGTTGCTCTTGATTTTGTTTTCAGTGCTAAAGAGTAAATATTCTACTTTATTTGGGCTATTATATCTCAAATAGTAATCTCTTTACCTATCATTTTAGAAAATTAGAACCTTATTTCTCTGTAGTCAGTAGTATAAAAATGTTTCTCACATTTATTCTGCATGTGCTTAGAAAGATGAAGCCATTGGTTGAGTGAGTGACTGACTGCACTGAGGTGTACACATGACAGGTATCTCATATAAAATAATCAGTGTCTGTCAGATTAAGAGAGGGGAGCCTAGAAGTGAGGAAGGCTTCGCTTTTGGCAGTCTGAGCCATGAGATTCTTCTCTCTCATGAGATAGAATTAATCTCTGATGAGATTAAATTCTCTAGTCTCTGGTTGCTTGGGTGGATTGACCTAAAGACAGCCAGAGATTGGGCCTGAGTAAGGCTGATGCTTCTACTCCATTTACTGTACCTACATTCTATGGAGCACCAAGTATTCGATTGACAAGAGCTTCACAAATCAATGACTTCTAACTTCTGCCCAATCATGTCCTTATGCCAGCCATTTTGAAAAGTGGAGACCTGGGCAGGCACTGTGGCGTAGTGGGTAAAGCTGCCACCTGTGATGCCAGCATTCCATATGGGCTCTGGTTCGAAACCTCACTACTCCACTTCTTTTTTGTTTGTTTGTTTTTTGTTTTTATTTTTTTATTTTTATGGATTACAATGGCTCCCCCCCCCCATAACGTCCCTCCCACCCGCAACCCTCCCCTTTCCCACACCCTCTCCCTTTCCATTCACATGAGGATTCATTTTCGATTCTCTTTATATACAGAAGATCAGTTTAGCATACATTAAGTAAAGATTTCAACAGTTTGCTCCCACACAGAAACATAAAGTGAAAAATAATAGATGATTTTTTAAATGATGATGAAATCAGATCAGACCTATTGTCATGTTTAATCCCAGTGAGAGTCAAGTTGGGAATTGATAATTTCTTTCTTTCTTTTTTTTTTTTTTTACAGAAGATCAGTTTAGTATACATTAAGTAAAGATTTCAACAGTTTGCACCCCCATAGAAACACAAAGTGAAATATACACTTCTGATACAGCTCCCTGCTAATGCACCTGAAAAGCAGCGGAGAGTGGCCCAAGAGCTTGGGTCTCTGCATCTATGTGGGAGACCTCAAAGAAGCTCCTGGCTCCTGGCTTTGGCCCAGCCCAGCACTGGCCATTGCAGCCACTTGGGGAGCAAACCAGCAGATGGAAGATCTCTCTCTCTCTCTCTCTCTCTCTTTCTCTCTTTCTCTCTTTCTCTCTCTCTTTGGAAAGTGAACCAGCAGATGGAAGATCTCTCTCTCTCTCCCTCTCTCTCTCTCTCTCTCTTTCTCTGTATCTCCTCTCTCTAACTCTACCTTTAAAATATATCTTTTTTTAAAAAAATATTTTATTTATTTATTTGAGAGGTAGAGTTACAAATACTGAGAGGGAGAGAGAGGTCTTCCATCCGATGGTTCACTCCCCAGATGGCTGCAATGGCCAGAGCTGTGCCAATTCAAAGCCAGGAGCCAGGAGCTTCTTTCAGGTCTCCCACGTGGGTGCAGGGGCCCGAGGACTTGGGCCATCTTCTACTGCTTTCCCAGGCCACAGCAGAGAGCTAGATCGGAAGTGGAGCAGCCAGGACCAGAACCGGCGCCCATATGGGATGCCAGGGCTTTAGCCCACTGCGCCATAGTGCTGGTCCCTAAAATATATCTTAAAAAAAGAAAAGTGGAGATGTTAAGATACAGTATCTCTGGATTGGCGCTGATAACCCAGTTACAGTCCAGTAACAATATAAGAAGAAAAGGCATTGTTCATCTGCATAATGAAGATTCATAGAGAGTAACTTCTAAAAGTTCATAGAAAATATAATCAAAAGTTTATTTTGGCACAAAAATAATTAAATCTATGCATGCAAGTGTCTTCAGAAGTTGAAAACTATGGAAAAAAATATCCCTGAATTTTAGGATTTTTGCACCGAAATAAACTGACTTTTTAAAAAAAAAAAAATTTATTTGTTTATTTGAAAGATAGAGTTCCAGAGAAAGAAAAGGAGAGACAGACAGAGAGAGATCTTCCATCTGCTGGTTCACTCCCCAAATTGCCACAATGGCCAGGGCTGTGCCAGGCCGAAGCAAGGAGCTTCTTCCAGGTCTCCCACATGGGTGAAGGGTATAGGGACTTTGGCCGTCTTCCACTGCTTTCCCAGGCTCATTAGGGAGTGTGTGGAAGTGGAGCAGCTGGGACTAAAACCAGCACCCATATGGAATGCTGGCACTACAGACCGCAGCTTAACCCTCTGTGCCATAGTGCTGGCCCCCAAACTTATGTTTTAATTCCATTCTCCCACAGATCTTTTGAAGTGTCCTTACACATCTACTTTTCTTTTTTTTTTGTTTAAAGATTTATTTACTTGAAAGAGTTACATAGAGAAGGAAAGGCAGAGAAAGAGAGAGAGAGAGAGAGAGAGAGGTCTTCCATCCAATGGTTCACTCTCCAGTTGGCTGCAACAGCTGGGGCTGTGCCTATCTGAAGCCAGGAGCCAGGAGCTTCTTCCCAATCTCCCATGTGAGTGCAAGGACCCAAGCACTTGGGCCATCTTCTACTGCTTTCCCAGGCCATAGCAGAGAGCAGAATTGGAAGTGGAGCATCCGGGACTTGAACCAACGCTCACATGGGATGCTGGCACTGCAGACGGCGGCTTTACCTGCTACGCCACAGTGCCAGCCCCAGCATCTACTTTTCTTTGTAATCTCATAAATGACCTTGTCGTTGAAGAAAAACTGTCACCTCTATCAGTGTGAGGAGACCAAGGCTTAGGGAAGGAAATGTTCTGCTCAGGTTCAGATCCAAGACTGCGGAGCCTTCTGAAGTCAGAGACTGGCTTTCCCCTCGCCTGCAGTGGGAGTTTCACTAAGTGAATTCCTAGAGGGTTTGGATGGGATCACTTACTCTCCTTTCCAGTCCCAATATTCTTTCATTCCCCCAATTCTGTCTTATCTGTGGAAAACCCAGATATTGAACTTGTGGCACTAGATTTCTTTAAAAACAAAAAACAAAGATTAAAGGTCTCATGTTGTTGTTATGCTTGGCACTTAGGATGAGAAAACTCTCAGTTATGAGGGGCATGCTCATGAAGGGATCTCAAAATGCATGTCCTATGTGGTTGGAAATGTTCACATTTGCCTTGTCTGCACCGTTCTCAGGATCAGTGCTTATATTGAAGAAGAAGTTCAGAGGCGTCTTCAGGATCTGCACCGTGGGCTAGGTGATGACAGCAGTGCCTCTGCAGATATGAGGAAGGTAAGCTGCAGGAGCCAAGCAATACAGTCATTCCCTTTGCAGAACAGCCTTGAGGATAAGTTATTAATGGTGCTGGCAGAGGTGGGATCTTTATGACTTTTTCAGTGAGAGAATTCAGGTGTGGACTGTTCCAGAAAAATATTAAATGTTACCTAGATAGTATAATATTGCTTGGTTGCAGCTTAACAGTTTAATAATAATATTGATTTAAGAGTGACTTTATATTAGATTTTATAATTTTTTGAAAACACTTCAGTGGATATAAAGTCCCCTAACATGCTGTATTTTCATAGTTTGATTTATAAAAATCCTACATTTTTCTCTTTCTCCCCCAAATACAATCAGTTACCATTGGCACTTAATTTACTTTGTAAATTATCCAACATAGAAATGTAATTTTGCTGTTGAGAAGATACATGTTTGTGACAAGTTGAATGTTATCAAAATTAAGACAGTTCATTTCTAAACCGAAAATTACGAAATATCCTAAGGAGACCTTGCATTTAATGTCCTTCTTAGAATTCCAAGATTAGGAGTAAACGGCTTAGTTCTGTTACGGGCAGATTGGTCACTAGAGCCAGGCTTACCTTGGGAATATAAGTTTTACTGAAGGATTGTCATTGTTGAATGACAAGTATGTTTCTTTAGAATTTTATTCCCATAAATACTTCGAATCAATCTTTCCCCCTCCCCATGAACAAGCTATAATTTAATATAGAGCGCTTTTTATTTTCTTTTCAGAATAATGAGAAACTTCACAATGGCACCATTCAACGTAAGCTAAAATATGAGGTAGGTAATGATTTTTCAGATTGATAGGGTCGCCTTAAATTATGGCATGCTTGTGTGATTAAATTTTCTTAATGTTTAGTTGCATAATTAGAATTTTGAAGTCCCAGTGAGATTAATGGCTAATAGGAAAGGCAAGCTATTATATGGACTTGAAATTAAACGGAATCCTGCAGGTTGAAATTGCTTTGACTTTATTTGAATGGCATGTAGCTGTGGTGGAGCTTTGCCCAGTTTTTCATCCATAACAGTATCCTTTCCCTTGGTCTGCATTTAAAAGGCAGAATTATATAATCAGAATCAGATATGGGGTTTGGAAATGAAACTGAGCATTTCTCTATGTTTAAAAGAAAAAAAACCTGGTCATTTCATAGACTGTGAGTTGGCAGTAGTACAAAGAAAAGACTCGCGATTGATTAGCTTATTTCTCTTGTGCATTGTCAAACCAAGGTTTATTTGGGCATACAATTTGTAGGGTTTTACTTGTATTTTTCTCTACCGAGGGGCATATAGTCTTTCCCATACTGTTCTAAATTTAATAAATAAATAAGTGAAAAGTTAAAAGCAAACAAAAACCTAATAGGTGGTAGACATTTTCTGGACGGTTGTCCACACATTACTGAACAGAGAGTGAGAAGGCTGGATGTTCCACAGTGGGCTCAGCTGACTCTGACCTAACCGCAGCCACCCCCTGCCACTGATCTTGTAATGACACCCTCCTCCTTTGGACACCCATATCCTTAGCAGGAACCACATGCAAAGCACGATGTTGCTTTGCGTTTCTGTGTGTCTGACACATCACAGGCATGCAGTAAGCCTACCATGGTGATGCTTTGTGTATAACTGTGATGGTAATCTAACCACTGCGGGCATAATTAAGGATTCCCGTAGAAAGAATCAAAAGGAGAGTGAAATGTGACCTGGTTTGGACTTTTTTTTTTTTTTTTTGGCATTACCCTGAAACTTTTAGTAAGTACACCCTGATTTATTTAGCATTTTTAATGTACCATCATGGATTATTTTCACAACTAAATTTGACCTTTTACACACCAAATCCAAGGTCTTAGGATCTATTTTAGAGAAAATGAAATCTTAGGCCAAGAAATGGATACTGTGGATCAATTCTATTCAGTGCTATCAAAAATACCCAACGATTCATAAGCTATAGAATATGGAAATAACTATTCTCTATATGAATCAGATCTACTCTTGAATCATATGTCAATCAACAGGAATGGCTTGGGGTTTCAATTTAACCTCTGAATTAATGCACCCAATGAAACTAATGACTACCAGGAGTATCATGTGCGAAAGAATGGCAGAAAGTGATGCCATATCCCCATTTCAACCTTTTTTTGACATCTTGAACAGAAAAAACAGTCTCGGCTGGCACGGTGTCTTGCCCCACTTCTGTCCAAAGACACCACTGATACCTCCCACGTCCTTAGAGAAGCGAGGCAGGAGGTGGACCCGGACCACTGCTGGAGTTGTCCTGTGAACCAGAGCATCTCAGACCCTAAAACTTCCTCCTCAGCATCACAAAAGACAGCCTGGCAGTCCAGAGATCTGCCCCCTGTTCCTGGGGTGCCTCAGCACCAGGCTTGCAAATATCACCCTCCTGAGCCTGCTGGCCATTGTGAACACAAGTGTTTTCATGGGTCTCCACTCTCTGTTCTTGACGAAAGCAACACCAGTGCTGCTGCAGACGTTCAAGGTAAGGCAGCCAATTCCAGCCAAGTGCTATCTGATACAGATGAACACGGCTCGGGAGCTGAGTCCACCTGGACTTTGCTGCACCATACGTCCCAGGAGGTGTCTCTGAATGGTGGAAGCAAGCAGGCCCGACAGAGCAAAGTGTTGTGCTTTGTTCTCGCGGAGAGCGTTTCTCAAGAGGAGGTCGCATCCGCCGGTGCTCCTTGGAGTGCACCGGCCTCCGGCTTTTGTAGTGAGCAGCAGGATGAGAAAGAGTTGGCTGCTAAAAAGATCAGCTCTTCTGAGTCACTGCTAAGTATCAGGACGGAAGGAAACTATGGACTGGGATACTTTTACCACAAGTTCTCAGATCTTTATAAAGATACCAGCCATCAGCTGCTGCAGGCTGGCACGAGGGTGGTGGACCAGGCCAGGCACGTGGGCAGCCTGTGTGACCCGAGTGGACTCACTTCCCACGTGACAACATTCATCAGGAACCTGCCGATTCTGAAGCACTTACCCCTGGATGTGCCCTTTAAGTCCCACGTGGTGGTATCGGGATCTGATTCCTTCCCTGAAGCTCAGGTTGGCAGCAGCCACCAGGAAGAGGCAGGGAGCATGAGGCAGGCGGAGACCGGTGTGCCGTGCCCAGCGTTTGTAGCGTCGGGATCGCCAGGGGGCTCACCAAGCTCGGTTTTCCGCCTTGAACGTGAAGGTGCTAGGAAGGGTTCTGCCCTGAAGCAGACCCTTGTGCAATTCCCAGACCAAATGCTGCACCTTCAAGAGCGCCCTCTAACGGACTTTCTCCAACACATGTCTTGTTCGCTACCAGAACCTTTGGGCGACGTGAGCGAAGCCGAAGGCGTTTACTGGCTTGCCGTTGCTAACTGCACAGAGCCCGACCCCCAGCCCGCATGCCTGCTCCTGCTGCGGTCAGCCCTGATGGCTCTGGTTCTGTCAGACAGTCACCCAGGCTCAATGACCCTTTTTCACACTCTTCCTTTCTCCGGATTACGGGAGATTCAAGTCGGCTTCGGTGGACAGAGTGTCCGGTTCCTAGGCTCCACAGCGGATCTCCTGCTCACCGTGTTCAGTTACAACAAAAACCTCTCGCAGCAGCTGTGCCGTGACCTCGTCCGTGTCCTAACGCCAGAGTCTGAAGCCGCTGTCTGCGCCAATCACCCTTTGCTCCAGCAGGATCTGGTGCAGCTCTCGCTTGATTGGAAAGCAGAAATCCCTGATTTAGTTTTGGCAAGCGGAGTAGGGTTGTCGTCCAGATTCCAGACTGCCATGGTTGACATGATTTACTTTCTTCACGGAAACATGGAAGGCAGCATCCCCTCCCTGGCGGAGCTGCAGTTACTGCTCTACACGACCGTCCGGGTGGAGGGGCAGCCCGGCCCCGGCTGCAGCTCGCTGCTCCTCCTCAACACCCACATCGCGCTCGTGCGTGCAGATGGCGTCTTCCACCCGCACACCCCGTCGCTAGGCACGCCTCCCTCCCGCGCACAGTTTGATGTGATCGCATGCCGTGCGCTGGGTGAGTTCCGGTGCGCTGTGGTCCCGGAGAAGAAAACTGTCTCCACAGTAGAACTTATCTTCTCACAAAGAGGCAGGCTTGCATCAGATTCAAAAAAGAGTCCAGAGGCCCCGCACGTTCCGCCGGAGCCTCGGGGTAGTCAGGCTGGGGCCCCTGAGGTCTGGAAACTGACGTTCAATTCTGAAGATGAGGCTCTGTGGCTAATCTCCCATTTGACAAGATCCTAGGGAGGAGACTTTTAGAGATGCGCTACATATTTTTTGAGAACTTTAATAAAAAACATGAAGACAGTCAAGGAAATAGGAATATATCAGTTTGATTAATTAAATTGGAACTGGAAAATTGCAGACTTCTAAAATTGATAATGTAAATATTTTAAATACAGCAAAAAGAAAATAGTAGCTGGTAGCAGAGAACTGATAAGGTATATTTATCACCACCTTGCTTTATTTTCTTGAAACCTGGGCTTGTAACTTTGGATCAGACTCAGTATTTGGGAGGTGATTAAAGCATTTCTGACCGCTTGGCTTCCTTCATGTCTGTTTAGTGTGGTGACTTGGAATCCGTACGTGCCTGCCAGATTCTGGCAGACTCATATGTGCCACCTGAAAAAGCGCCCAGCCTGGCGGTGACCTGCGTTGACATCCTCTGTCGTAGTTGTGATTAGGACCACCATGTGGCAGAGCACATCAGTGCTGTGCTGAGCTTCCGAGAAGGACCCAGGGATTCCACATGGCCTCCCGCTTCTGTAATGCGCGGACTCCAGACAGCAGTGCGTGCCCTGCAGTGTTTTCTTCTTCAGCTAATTGCCTCTTCCTTCCTCCTCTGCTGTTTCCTCCCTGCTCCCTTCCAACCTATCTGATTTAGTGACTTACTCACCGATTTGACTTCCCCCGCACTCCAACCTCTGGATGAGGTGTTCTGCGACCTCCAGTTGGGGTGAGTTCCCACCCACGTTTCCCTGGCCTAGATCTCCTCTCTCCATCCGGTAGTTGGTTGCCTGCCTCCTTTGTAAGACCCTTTGCAGCGTGTGGACTTCCTCTGTCCACTCCTGTTAACTGTATCATGAGTAATAAGGTTACAACTGCTGAGTGTACTTCCTGTTCTGTCTGACCCTAGTTGTTCTGCCACTGTTCCCTTGTCTCTCAAGTGTGTGTTCTACCAAATTCCAAAGTTTCAGAAGGAGGCTCCTGTTTCGCTCTCAACTGGGGTCATGCTCCTCCCCCTACCCCCGGTAGCCACTCACACAACCTTGTATGCAATTGAGTGAATCAAGGATTCTGTTAACCTGCTTGTCATAGCCCTGGCATGGAGGGGCCATTTTTCCTTCTGTCCAAATCTTGGAATCACGTTCAATAAATTGTTACAGCCTCTTCTTCATTTCTGTTCCTAATTGATGACAGGGATGGTGTCAAAACTTAACCACCCAGAAACTTATCACCTCCTTTTGGCCAGGAAGCACACATCTTCCCTCTCTTCCTTATCAAAAGTGACTTAACTGTTTCTATGTTTACTTATTTTTTATCTACCCAGTTTCTGTGGAACGAACAGAAAAAGGTAGGAAATTGGAGAATGTGTCACAGTTGACAAACTGGTGGCTACAGCCTTGTTTGCTTTGGACCAGTGCAGGTATTTTGTTTTGTTCTTTAAGGCAATTTAATTCTCTCATGTTATTATGTGCAGAATAACTTCCAAAACACTCCCCACCGCATACCTACACACCTTACTGCCTTATAACTGAAGGCCTTTGTGTGAGAAGGACATCATTCAAATCAGCTTGTCATCCCCTGTCTTGGCTGGTAGGTCATCTTGTATCATGGAAAAATTCCCAGAATCTACCATGACAGTCATGGAAAAGCTTATCCATAATATTTTTCCTATTTTAACTGTTTTCTACTTTTTTCTCAGTTGATGTAATTGTGCATTGGTTTTTCTAAATTGTCCCACTTGGTGTGTTAGCTTTGTATCTTTGATCATGAAGAGCAGAGGGAGTAGAATTTAAGATACCTGCATGGGTTGCCAAGGTCAGGAAGAGGCAGCAAATTTCAATAGCTCAGGATTTTAGCAGAGAGTGTTAAATGCTGAACAGATAGACCTGCTTGTCCTCACAGGTACTGAAGCATGTTATCAATCATGGTCTTTAGTGTTTTTCCCAGGTGGAGCATGCAGCAAGTATCAGCATTGCATAAAATCATATTATTCAGTATAACATCTTCAGTGCCTTATGACACAAGTAGGCTGCAATCAGGATTGCATTCAGATCTCACCGAGGAGCAGAAGCAGCATACAGCAATCCTACTTTGGACATCACTTGCCTCACCGAAGCCTGCTTGGCACCCTGAGATAAAGTATGGTTCCTAGGTGTGGGAGCTGGATATACTGTCCGTGAAGTAGGTATCCAGGTTCTGATAATGCCTTTGGAAGCCAGGAGAGTCCCATTAGTGCCACTGTCCACTGTGGCTTCTATCCTAATGGCCTCCTCCTGGCTCGTTTGTCAGAAGTGCTAAGCCCAAGACATGCCTCTCATGGGAACTGGGTATGACAGTCTAAGTATTCAACCCAATATAACATCTCAGTTGTAACGAGTTTCTGAATCAAAAGAACATAGAGGCTCATATGTAGTTGGTTATGTAGCATTTTGCATTGTAATATAGGTATAAACACTTAAATTGTGGGGCCTGTTAATACATTCTAGATGGTACCTCCTTGTATCCTTTTGAAACAGTGATTTTTATCTGAATTTATTCATTTTGCTCACAGCTGCCTGTCTTGCAGACTTGTGGTTGGCAGGCTGAATTTATTTAGTCTTTGTTGAAAAACATTTCAAGACAGTTTGTCTCTCTATTCTCATTACTTAAAAAATGTACATGCATCCCGTTAAGCCTTCGAACCATAATAATTACAGTAATTTTTAGTTACATTCTTTTTCTCAGATGACTTCAAGCTTTGTATGATGAATAGTTTATAGTGATTTTTAGTAATGTGTCTTTGATGGTCAAGCAGTCTTTTTTATATAGACCAGTTTCTAAGGACCTCATTTTGTGAATGCAGTCCCAGTCTTCAGTATGTAACTAAGACAGCTCTGCTCATCCCATAAATTATCTGTTTGATATGTATTGTATCAGCTAGCTATTACCAAATAGCAATGCTCAAAATTTCAGTAGCATATCCAAACAAAAACAAGCAGGAAAGCTTTTATTTCTCACTGCGGGCTTGCAGCAACTCTGCTGTAGACTACAGGTCATCCACAGTTCAACGAGGGCTGGTCTGCCCAACAGTGTCTCATTTTAAAGTCTTTGTTCTAAAAAAAGGTTTGATGATAACAGAAGCACAAAAGAGCTGCCATGCAAGCCTCTGCTGTTAACATATAATTGGCCATCCCAAGTCACATAACCAAGCCCAGGTCCAGGAGTGAGGGAGTACATTCCACCCCACCAAAGGGCCGCGGCAAGATTCTATCTGCACTACTGCTGCAGGGAGAGAAGACTCGGTGTCCTCTTCCATCTCTCTGCTTGACTGCTTCCTTGGATGAACTGACCACTTGCTACCTCTGAAACAGTCTCTTCCTTGGGAGCTGCTGTCATTGTTAGATCCCTCTTTCCCAGAGTCTTCCTTACTGTGATCTCTGTCTGCAGAATCCATCCATCCATGGCATCCTCTATAGCAGAACAAAAGAAGCCTAGTGGGAAATCTGTACTACATCACAACCCTTCAGAGAGGAAAATTATTCACTCTCCTACCCCTGATTTTCTTGACCCTAACGCCCCTCCGTCCCACCACTTCTTCTTATACAACACAGCTTCCAAACCGTCACCATCTGACCTCTTGTCAAGCTCCACCCCTGTAAATTGTTAAAGCCTCCTTTATAAGGAATGGAGCTGAATAATCTAGTTAATGTGATGGAGATTCTACTGTAAATCACTCCTCCTACCTGTTCTTCTAATATCTGGTTAACATCTTTTGTTCCTGAAGATGTGGGTTTCGATGAGGGCAGCAATTCCAGCCACCATTTATATGGTACTTTACCCTGTGTTCCTGTGATCATTACAGTGATCTTCTTTAGAGGACTTATAATCCATCTTCATTTCTTAGTTGAGAATTGATATTCAGAAAGAATTAATTCATTGAGAATCTAGACTTTAGCCCAGGCCTCCAAAATATATGTTTGTTTCACAATACAAAAGCCACCTCCTAGTCAGTTATTTTTGACATTGTCATCTTTTTAATTGGCTTTTTTTTTAATTGACTTTTTCCCACAGGAATGACTTTGCTAGAAATGAGTCTTTGTAAGCATTGCTAAATTGATTCTGTAATTGCTGGACATTAAAGATTGTCGGTCTCTGAATAAATTGAGGTCATTGTTGTTATTGTTTTCAAAGATTGCCTTACCGGTTTTTTTGTAGTTCCGTTGCTGCCTTGTAGGGGCCCCATGACTCCTTTTTGCTCTCTGCATTTTTGACTCCTGCTGAAGAAAATTGTAGCTAGTCATAGTATGAATATGGTCAGGTAACCTTGGACGCTCGATGTTCTTCCTGTAGCTGGATAGTTAATTAACATGTCCTACAGAAAGCTGAGGAGGGAATTTCGCGCCTCTGCCTTTGATTCTCTCGTGAGCCATAGAATTCAGCACAGTTTGGGCCAAAGTAAGGGCTCAGCAAAACCCCAGTGAATGAAGATGCGTGGTTCTTCCAATGATTGATGGAAAGGCATTGTAGAACTCGAGGGAGAACCTCCAGTTTTTCCTCCTGAGGGTCCTAAACTGTCCGATTCATGTTTGCTGGTATCACCTAGCAGTTGTTGCCATGTTACAAGTCAGGCATACCAGACCCGATATTAAGTCTTTTTTTTTTTTTTAAGTCTGGCATTTATTGATGAGTTGTCCAGAGATGATGACCATTAAAGGAAGAGTAGTCTTTTGGGATCTGGAGAAAGATAGTGACATTTTTAATAGATTCACATTGAAACATTCATCATATATCCAGCATTTCCAAACCTTGACGCAATGTAGGTCAACTCATACTGACATGGAAGAAGTCATCGATTCTGTTAAGAATCATGGATTGGAAATGTCAACTAAACCACTAAACTCAATATGTTCCACAAACACTTCTGTCCAACATGGTTTGTCATTTTCTGGGTCTTTCAAAATTAAATTTTGAGTTTAAATTTTGAAATCTAGGTAATTGAATTAGTTATCTAGGACAATCAGAATTAAAGAAATACTCCTTTACTTGAAAATTTGTCTTTCTATTTCCTGGCACAATTCTAAGCTCATTTCAAAAATGAGATAAGCTTAGCACTGTTTCTTCATGCCAGGGTGTTGTTCAAGCTTTGTTCTTGATTGCCATGGATGGTGAGGGCATCCCTGTAGCATGTGTGGTTCACGTATCTTAGCAAGAACCCATTCAGTTCTATTTACTAACCCTGCAAAGATAGCATGATGGCATTAAGACGAGATCCCTTCACAGCCTAAGCAGGTTTCCCCTGGAAATGGATATAAGCATGCCTTGACTGTTTACTGTACTCATAAT